TGAACTAGCAGCTGGTCTTCCTAGAGTGGAAGAGTCATAGAATTCACTAGAACACAGTTACGAGGGCTGCAGAAGGCTCTGGAAAGGAAGCCTGCTCTCTGCCCTGAGTGCCTGACCCTACAGGCAAGCAATCAGTCTCTGCTGACCCTCCAGAGCATGGTTATGGTTGGAAGGAGCAGAAGACAGACAGACAGACAAGAAGTGGCTTACATTCCTCAGAGTAAACATTCAATACTTTTTTTCGCAGAACAATAATTGACAAATGAGCAACCATAGTTTGATATCCATCATATACGAAAAAGTGTCGGTGGAGTCTGTGTTGCTAACTCCTCCTGGGAGGGGCACAGGGAAGCCTGTTGATTATGAAAATCACATGTATATTCATTGTTGATTCCCACTCGGTGCTCCTGGGAATTAATAAATAAGCCACTACCTGACTTCTGTGAAGTTCAGATGGAAGACATGGTGATGGAGTCAGGTAAGAAGTGAGCCCTGGAGTTGGGTCCAGATCAGAGCCCTGGGAGAAAACTTGTGTTCTCTCATTTGTAAATGAAGGTAATGACTGTCACTTGTGCTCTGGGGATCAAGTCCCCAGAGTAAATTACACACCGCCTAACCTGTCACTCAAGGCACTCTGTTGAGTCCAACCCACCAAAGACCAGCCCACACCCCACACAGCTGACCAGGCTACAAGGCGAGTGTCAGATGGCCTTCATGATGATGCCTCAGTGGGTAGTGGGTCCCCCCGCAAATCTCTTCTGGGTATTCCTGGCAGGTAGTGTTTCTACCTCTGCTTGAATACCTCCAGCAATGAGGTGTTTACTACCTGAAGACCAGCACCAGGTGATGACAAGTTCTTCCTTAGGCAGGCAGATGCAGATTGTGAGCCTGGACCAGGCTTTGCCCTCTGGGATGACTCAAGGCCACCTACTCCCTCCACCAGATGCCAGCCCCTCACTGCTCAGAATCGACTCTCTAGCCTGCCCAGGCCCTGGGTTCCCAGAGTCCTGCTGCAGGCCTGGCTGGCAGAGTTAAGATGCAGCCTTCCTCTCCTCCATGTCAGATGCTCTACAATGGTCTAACTCACCTGGAATTAGCACACTTCATTTTGTCAGGGACTTGTGTCAGCCTGCTGGCCTGTCGACATCATTGGGAATCCTCCCTCCAATCAATTAACTGCTACATTCCCACACACCTCCAGATTTCCTGCCATCCTGAAGAGCACTTCACCCAATACCACGTTTTACTTTTTAATACAAGTCATAATAAAAATGCAGAGGGACTAGTCAAGGGTCAGGTTGCACAGCTGATTATTGTAATTGCTGTCAATAAGTTGTACACCTCTAAGAAGTTGAACTGGCAAAAGTTGTGTGATAGATATTGTTATGGATTAAATTGTGTCCCTCCAGAATGTATATCAACTTGACTAGTCCATGATTCTCAGTATTGTGTGATTGTCCACCATTTTGTCACCTGATGTGATTTTCCTATGTGCTGTAATTCATACCTCTATGATGAATAAGGAAGACTGAAGAAGAACTGACACCTTTCAGTTGTGGTGTTGGCGAAGAATATTGAATATACCATGGACTGCCAAAAGAATGAACAAATCTGTCTTGGAAGAAGTACAACCAGAATGCTCCTTAGAAGCAAGGATGGCGAGACTACGTCTCACATACTTTGGACATGTTATCAGGGGGGATCAGTCCCTGAAGGACACGATGCTTGGTAAAGTAGAGGGTCAGCAAAAAAGAGGAAGACCCTCAACAAGATGGATTGACACAGTGGCTGCAACAATAGGCTCAAGCATAGCAACGTTTATGAGGATGGCGCAGGACCAGGCAGTGTTTTATTCTACTGTACATAGGGTCACTATGAGTTGGAACCGACTAGACAGCACCTAACAACAACATGATGTTAATGAGGACAGGATTAGAGGCAACTATGTTAACGAGGCAGGACTCAATCTACAAGATTAGGTTGTGTTTTAAGTCAATCTTTTTTGAGATATAAAAGAGAGAAGGAAGCAGAGACAGGGTGACCTCATTACCACCAAGCAAAAAGAGCCAGGAGCATGCATCCACTGGACCTGGGGTCCCTGCGCAGAGAAGCTCCTTGAACAGGGAAGACTGATGACAAGGACCTTCCCCCAGAGCCAAAAGACAGAGAAAGCCTTCCTCTGGAGCTGGCACCCTGAATTCAGACTTCTAGGCTCCTAGACCATGACAGAATAAACTTTTCTTTGTTAAAGCCATCTACTTGTGGTATTTCTGTTACAGCAGCATCTAGGTAACTAATACAGATACATTTACAACATCATCAACAACAACAAAAAGAATAGCTGCTGAGGCTGCTTATGTATAGCCAAAAACCTCATGGGATTTGGTTTCTTGGTTTGGAGGTTTAGGATCATAATTTCATGAGACATGCCAGTTAATTGGCCTAATAGTGCCTCTGTTCTACCTCCTAGTTCGATACGTGGTGCCTGGAGTCTTAAAAGCTTTCAAGCGACCATCCAAGGCAAAACAATTGGTCTCTATCCACTTGGAACAACAGAGGAAAAAAAGAGAGTCAGGAATAGGAGGACAGTATAGAATGTGTGGTCAATTGCCTCCATGAACAACTGCCTTCTTGCCATGAGGCCAGAAGAACTAGATGGTGCCCGGCTACCATTGCTGAATATTTTAATCAAGGATTCTCTAGAAGTATCCTGATCAAAAGGGAGAAAATACAGACCAGAATTTTGAATTCTCATGGACTCCAGAAACTACTGCCCTGAGATAATCTTTAAAACTGAAACCAAAAATATCCCCTAAAGTCTTCTTAAAACCAAACAATAGTTTAGCTTAACTAGTAAAGAATGTATGTCTTGAGCATCGTGCTCAAAGAACTATCTAAATGGGATCAAAGAGGCAACAGCAACTGGAAAGATTAGACAGGAACCTTAGGGGCAGTGAATTTATGTTAAGGGGGGGAACAACTCAAACAAGGAGGGTGAGAACAGTTACACAACTCAAAGAATGTCATCAATGTCACTGAATTGTACATGTAGACACTGTTGAATTGGTGTATGTTTTGTTGTGTATATTCTCAACAACAAAATTAAAAAAAAAAAAATGCAGAGGGTCAGGTCCGGGAGAGTGTCCTAAGGGCAGCTGCCCCAGGCTGCCTCTCGGATCAGTCACTGCTCATCCCAGTGGTCTTGTCAGCCATGGACCCTCCAACTGCTTTAGGAGAAGCCCCCTTTCTTCACCTTGTCCCCACCGGTGGCAATGAGAAGGAAATGTGCTGTTTATGCCACGCACACACCAATAAGAAATTTAAAACCACTGCGAAAACATGCTGTTTGCTTGAGGGTTTCTTCCCCCTGCACTCCCGAGGGGACCTCTCAAGGCCTCCAGAGATCCCCAGTTCCTGAGGGAGGGGTCTATGAACACCAGCATCCCCAGCCCACCCAGAGCCTTCTGGAAAGGAAATGCAGCAGGAACTTACAATCTCTCTCAACCTCAGCAGTGACGTTATAACTGACCGGCTGCTTTTTCCCGTCAGTGTTTCTCAAGCTCTCAGCACATGCTATTTATGGACATAGACCCACCCTGTCTTTGCTGCAACCAGGAACGCAATAGCAAACGGCTCTCATAAGGCAGAACAGCGGCTGTCCTGGAAAATACTCCAAGGATGGCCTCCAAATGCCTCAGCACCAGCAAGGCTTTTGAGCCTGCGTGCATGTTTTTGAGCATGTTCAGTCTGTGCTGGGGTGCATTCACTTCACTCCCCCTAATCTAGGATACAAGAACCATTTCAGAAGGAAATCTCTGAAGAAACCATCTTTGATCACTTGCAATGCTTTCATTGATTATGACAATGTTAACATTTCTTCCTGACTTTCATTTACCCTACAAACAATAACCCAAACCACCACACCTTTTGCCATGGAGTCGATTCCGACTCACAGCGACCCTATAGGACAGAGTAGAACTGCCCCATAGAGTTTCCAAGGCTGTAAATCTTCATGGAAACAGACTGCCCCATCTTTCTCCTGAGGAGCGTCTGGTGAGTTCCAACTGCTGACCTTCCGGTTAGCAGCTGAGAGCTTAACCACTGCGCCACCAGGGCTCCCTACAAACAATAGGTGATACTAATACAATCTTGAATAGGTCACAAGTAGGCACAGGACAGAGGGCCCATCTCATGTCTCATTTCTTCCGGGTGCAGTTGTGTCTACACCAGCGAGCCAGAGCTGAGTCCTGCGGGTTAGGATCCTCGGCTACCTCCTTACCTCCTCCGCTCTCCGCTGCTTCGTTTCCTCTGCTGTAGACACCCCTACTCTGGAGGGCTCCTCAGCCAGCAGGAGCGATCGGGGCAGCTCATGATCACAGGAAACTTAAGTCGGTTCTGGTATCAATAATCTCCTCCACCCCCAGGTACCGAGGGTCTCCCAGACCTTGTCCCTGCAGTTTTGGGGTTAGTTCCCCCGGTAAAGTGTGCAGACTGCAGTGGTTGGCAACAGGGATGTTTCTGGACTCAGTGGGCAGGGGTGGGGGGTGGGGGATGGCTTGTGTTTGGCTGATGACGCAGCATGATTTTCAGAACCTTTGAGGCTACAGAGGCCTCGCAGCCCACTGAAGTGGGTGCGCTGGCGTTGGAAGAGAAGCCGTGGCTGCCGCCAGGGAGAGGACAAGCAGAGTGGTTTATGGGGGATTTGGGGGCAGGTGCTGTCCCTACACGGGTACCTGGCATCCCATCTCCCTCCTCAGTGCTCTTCAAGATGGACTTATGAGGCTGGGCTTTCTCGGGGGGATGGGCATGAGATGAGCTGACATAACCCTGGACAGGCGAGGAGGGGGCAGGTGTGCCAGTGGCGTCAGCCAGGAAAGCTCCCATTCTGAAAAGAGATCTTCTTGGTCCACATCGAGCCTCCCCGGTCGTTTGTCCAACCTCCCCACCCCGCCCCACCTCTCCAAGGCATACCCGTCAAGGAAACCAGCTCTGGCAAACTAATGAATCATAAATTTTATTTCAAAATGTAAACATCACTAACCATGCATACACGTTAAAATGATAAAATTTACAATTTTGTTAATTTTTTTCTTTTTGCATAGGACATCATTACAATATAGAATCTATGCCATACAAAATACATACAAAGTTTCATCCTAGCAAGCCAAGGCCAGATTGGGAACTGTACAACTGTAATACTTCACTGTAGTGATCTGGAAAAGATGAACCGTGGCCTTCGGAAGCATGGTGTGGTGCTGGTTAAAAAAAAAAAGTTCCTACAGAACAGAAAATGTGCTTGATGGAAATGGTCTTGGACCCTTGGATTTTGCCTTTGCATTTTGACAAATGATTCCAAAGAAGCTCCCATCATGGCTTTGGATGGGAAGGGGTTGTCTGTACAGGCTGGGGGGCCGAGACCCCTCAAGGCACCCACACAAGTGAGTTTCCGCTCAGGGTCTCAAAGGACCTTCGCAACCCCACCCCACAATGCATAGTTGCTCAGTAGACACCTCACGCAGGGCAGTCCAGCCCTCAGGGTTCTCAGGGGTGGGGCCCAGGGACAGCTCCTCCCTCTGACCTTGGGAATGGACACAGGGCTGATGACATGGTGTCTGGGAGACACCCCCTCCTCTCACGGGCAGCCTGGGGAGGGACCCTGCGGAGTACGGCTGGCCTGTGTGCTGAGAATGGGGTTTGCTCTGCAGGCACACAGCTGCATATCTGGTTTCCAAATGGGTGTGAGGGGTGGTCTGTCAACACAGCCTCTCGTAAGAGACCCAGGGCCAACAGAAGGAACCCCAAGCCTGGGAGACAGCCGCTCCTACCCCCTCAGGGAACACGTGACATGCAGGGCAGGGCTGGCTGCTTTCCCATCCTGTTAATTTTTAAATAAAAGTAGTAGTTTTAAAGCTCATTGAGAAGGAGAGAGACGAGGCAGGGCCAGGTGGCCACACTGCAAAGCTGGTCTCTCGGTGTGGTCAGCAGAAACCAAGAGTGTGGCCATTTCTCTTCTGGACCCAAAGCCCCCACTGCCTGCCAAATCCAACTGTCCAACTGAGGAGGGATGGGACAGGCTGGTGACTGAGGGAGGCCTAAAGGATGACGCCCAGGCATTTATCAGTGGTAAGCTACGCTGCGCCTCCGAATTCTGTAAGAAACCCTCCGGACCGTGTCCAGGACAAGCCTTTGAAACCTACCTACGAACCAGGAGAGCTGGTCCTATGGCCTGGCTCTCCCAGGGGCAATCCTGAACTCAAGAGTGGCCAGCCCACATCCTCCAGCTCAGCTGTGAAAAACACAGCCTTTGGGCAGCACAAGACGTGGGTGACTCACAAAGCACCGCCTCTTTCCTATTTCCTACCACTAGTGGTGACGTGACCAACACGTCAAACCCCTCAAACTTGCTGGCACGGTGTCTTTGACTGACTTTTTCTAAATAGGTTTAAAAGAAAAAAAAAATTCAGTGACACCCGTCAGAATTCAGTACTAGGTAGCCTTGTAAACACAGCCCAAACTGGGGCAGAGAAACCGGGGGTGCTCTGCTCAGACCCTGCTTTCCTACAGTGGCCCCCCGTTCAGGGGGGAGCATGAGGTCTCAGGTGAGCACCTGACCTGTGCAGTGCTCAGCACCTGCTTCGGGCCAGCAAGGAGGCTGGGCTCTGCAGACAGCGGGCTGGTCGGAGAAGCCGTGAGCAGGATCCACCTCTGCCATGTTTCACACAGGCCATGGGAAGTCACCGCCTCTCTGTAAATGTTCAGCAAATGGGCTGGGGGCTGCTGAGGCCCACTGCCCACCTAGACCTGATCAGTGTCTGTGCCATGACCCAGTGCTAGTGAGGTCTGGAGCCCTGGTACTGTTGGTGTTACCCTCGGAGGCTGAACAAAACAGGCCATGGGGATTCCTGCACCTGCCCGCCAAGGGAGTCCCTGCCTGCCAAGGGAACACCTGCCTGGAGGAGTGGCCGGGGATAAAGGGGGCGGGGTCTGCAGTTCAGGAAGCTGTGATAGGCAGTGGGCGCAGGGTGTGAGCACGGCCTCCAGAACTGCATTTGAAAAGTTCCACATAGCACCCAGCAGGAGAGGCCCACAGGCCCTTGTGGATAGGGTTGTATCTGATTTTCTAGTATGGCTATAGGATTCTGTAGGCATTTAGGGGAGCAGAAGCCATTCCCTAAAATGGCTGATGCAAAGACAGGCTTTATTGTTTGGGTCACAAGCTGAACACCAGCCCCCTGGAGATTGCATCCAGGGTCACCTGTAGGCCGTTTTTTGGCGGGGACTCTCACTTCGCTCAAGCAGCCTCCTCGGCCTGCTAGAACTGAAGCCTGTGCTAAAATGACGGTGTGAGGTTGCACTATTGTTCCTGGAGGTGCTGTGGTTCCTCAACCCACTGAAAGCAGCAAGCGCGGTCACAAACCATAACATGAAACACCCTGAACCAGGCCTGGGCTGGGCAGGGCATTCTCCAGCTCAGAAGGAACTGCAAGCTGTCTCTGGTGGGCCCCCTGCAGAGGCCTGGGCAGGTGTGGCTTCCTGAGGCTCCCCCTCAGACACACACTCCCAAGATGGAGCCATACTGGGGAGCGCCCAGTTGGACTTAGCCTGGGACTCTCAGATTTTTTCCACCCTTCAAGTGAGATAATTTCAGCCCAGGTGATCCCACAAGGTCCAGGCTGGAGCCCCAGGCTGAATGGCCCCGGGGTTCCCAGCACCAATGCCCTCCAGGTGCCCCAAGTCTGAGGGCACCCCACCCATCTCCCGGGCGAGGCCACTGAAGGGACTACACCCTCCATTTAGCGAGAGACACTTTTGGGAACGAAGACGCTCATCTGCCATAAATAGCCCACGCCTGCATTTTTCTGTTTTAAGGCAACTTTACCCTCCCATCTGCCAGACGGACAGCCCTGGGTCACTGAGAGGAGAAATTAAATTAAGTGCTCTCTTTGGAAACAGCAAACGCCCCCTTTCCCTAGCCCACCCCACCCCCACGGAAAACAAACCAGCTCTTTATTTCAAGCCGCCTGGGTTTCAGTCCTTTTTCCCTTCCTATGCACATACAGAGGTAGGGGTGCAGACACTCCTCCATGACCTTGGACGTGGCACAGGGAGCCCCCACCCCTCCTGGGGAGAAGGTCTTGCTGCTTCCAAGGGACACCTCCCCCTGCCTTCTGGGACCTGTGGACAGTGATCGCACCAAAGGACTTTGGAATAAAATTCCTGAACCTGGAATGTGAATTCCTGAGACATGAGACGTATTCTGAGTGTGGCACTCCCTGCCTGGCAGGGAAACAGCTTTGGGAGGGACCGCCAGGGGTCCTTCCAGAGCTCGCCTTGGCCCTGGGTGCGAAGTCTCAGCGCCCAAGCACCCAGCGCTCTCCTTTGCCGAGGTCTCTCCAGCACTCCACTCTCTCTCCTGGGCAGGGTGCATGCAGGGCTGTCACCGCGCTCTGCACTCCACCTCTCCCCCAACCCACCCAAGCAGCAGGACCAATGCTACCACCCAACTCAGTACCTATGGTGCTGCTCTGAGCCACCACCACGTCACAGCTAGTGCCCGCTCACACACATGACACTCAGGGTGCCCTGGCCACACACAGGGGGCCATCCACGCTGGAGCCAGCCCGAAGCAGCTGCCAGGGGCTGCGGACCTTGGCTGTGCTTATCGCCTCTGGGGTCTTCTGTGCTACCATCGCCCCATGGTGTGGGTGGAGTGCAGGGGAAGATGGACAGACACAGCCAAGGCACTCTGGGCCCAGCAAGCCCGTCTGGGGGCTCGAGGGCTCTTCCTCATCAAAATGAGTACAGGTCTCTGCAAAACACCCCAAGTCTGCCCAACCCTACCTCCATACACACACACTCACACACTGTCATGGGGACTTGGACTTAAAGGCCCCCACTTGGGAGGGGAGGTGGGGAGGTGCCTCTGGCAAGCAGTGCTGAGAGGCCCGTGTCCAGCTTTCTGCAGAAGGAGGAGCTTTGGGGAACTGTCCTGGCTGGCTCTCTGCGCTGCCTTGATTAGCGAGAACCTGCGAGGGGCACTCCAGTCCAAACCCCCCACTGGCATAACCTGGAGAAGCAGAGAGGAAAGAGGGTCCAGGGGACGCCAAGTCGGCTAAGTCTGACCTGGGGACCTTGTAGATCTAAGAAAAGTGCTTTCCACAACCTTCCATCTGGTATGCCCTGGGGAGGAAAACAAGTACTTTCTCAGACGAGTTTTCCTGACATCCGCTTCACCACTACAGAAAGGCTCCAGGTCACAGTGTTCCAGTCTCTGACAAGACATGGTATCTGCACAACACCGAGCACACGTGTGCCATCCACACACAGCCCTCCGGTGAAGTGGCCGACAACCTCAGCCTTGGCCACAGACAAGGGCCTTGGCAGCAGGGCCTGTCCAGGGGATCGGGACCGGGTGAAGCAACAACACATCTTTTTAGAAGACCAGAATTCCCAGGCTGTGTTTTCCAGTCAGAGAGCATCGTAGGAGAGGGAAGGCCCCTTACCTTCTGCGAGCACCACCCTCTCGTGCTCTGTGAGTCCTCGATGCCATGGGGGCAGGCATGGCCTGGGCCGTGTCAGCTCGACAGTGGCTAGTGCCCTACAGGACTTGGGTCTCTGCTGGGTCTCTGCTTCCAGTTCTCTGCGAGGCTGCAGAGAGGGCTCCGGGGAGGCGGGGGGTCCTGGAGGCAGGAGGGACAGACCCCGCAAATGGAGATGCCTCTGCAGTCCCCCAGGTGAGTGTCCCTTTTGCCTATCATGGCTTAAGGCATCCCTCTGAGGTGTCCTTTCCTCAGAAATGTCTGCGTCCTGAGCCCAGCTGGGCCTCCGGGGCAGGGTTTGGAGGCTGGGTGAGAGAAGGGGGCACAGGCTGCCACGCAGAAAAAGGCTGTGGAAGCACAGATGCTCTGGAATGACTGGGCAGCTGACCTGCAGGACAGACCCCCAACTACAGCTGGCACTGGTCTATCTGCTGTCCCCAGTGTGTTCCCAAACCCAACAGAAACCTCCAGAGTGCAAATCTATGTACAGAGTAAGGCGGCAGGAAGGGCGTCGTCACTGACCTATGAAACATGTCCATCCCTGAGAAAGGGGGTTCACACCGCTGAATGTCAACCTCGTGGTAGTCCATTGTGCAATCTGTGTGTGGTGTTTTTTTGAATTTTTTTGTTGTTTTTCTACAAATTTACTTTGACACCTGAGGTGAAGAAAAATTTGTTGTTGTTGTTGACTTTTCAAAAAGTTCTCTCTCTCTGTTATTACAAAAGGAAAAGACAGGGAATCACAAAAGGAAGTACAAGCATCTGCTCATGGCTGTAACGGGGTGGGGGGTCACTCAGACCTGGGGGGGCCAAGAACTCTGGCAGCTGGACAGCAGGAAGCCCAGCTGGCAGGGCTGTGCCACTCCAGGATCCGAACTTAGAGCCGGGCAGTGGGCTCTGCCGGGTGGTGCCGCTGGCCGCCTGCCCAGCCATGGGCGCTCAGGGCGAGCTGGCCGGGCTGATGGTGGGGCTGCTGGCATCTGAGCGGCTGTAGTCGCTGACGGAGCCGGTCCGCGAGCCGCCGCCGCGCCTCTGCAGCATGCCTGGGTGGAAGTTGGCGTGGCGCCGCGCATGCTTCGTCAGGTGGTCGCTGCGCATGAAACGCTTCTCACAGATGGGGCAGCTGAACTTCTTCTCCCCCGTGTGCGTGCGGAAGTGCCGGGCCAGTTCGTCTGAGCGTGCAAACTTCTTGTTGCAGTCTTGCCAGCTGCAGGCGAAGGGCCTCTCACCTGTGGGCGGATAGGTGGGAAGCAGTGTCAGTCTTGGGCACTGGACCCGCCCTCTGCCCCTGGACAGGGCCTACCCCCAGGGAAGGCCCCAAGATCCAAGGCCCTCTCCTCAACCTGGCCACCCCGGACCCCGATGGCACACCTCCCCTCTGTGCTTGCCGACCCTTACCCTGGGCAATTGGCACCTGACACGCGGAGGTAAGCAAACCACACCCCAGAGTGGGAAAGGCAGATTTCAGGATGGGTCAGGGCCCAAGGCCCCTTGCAGCAGGGCCCCCAAGTCTACCACAAAGCATGGCACCCAACGTGTAGGGCCGGGCTGACCCGCCGTGATAGGGTGCAGGCCACCCCACATTGGCCCCGCAGTGCACATGCTCTGAAGCCCATCACCCCTGCAGGACCAAGAGACCACACAGCCCATAGGGCCTCCTGCAAGGGAGGCCCATGCAGAATTCCCAAACCCTTCCTTCCTGCCCAGTCTCCCCATCACTGGGGGCCTTTTCTGACCCTTTCCTCAGTCTCTTCATCTGTAAAATGAGGGGTCAGACTGGGTGATCTCTAGGGCCTGAGATTCCATGACTGACACCTCCAGTTAGCCTGGCTCCTTCTCTTACACAACTGCCAGTGTGGCAGACCCATAACAGCCAGCAGAGCAGGAGGGGTCACCAGGAAAGCAGAGACTGCAACAGGCTCCTGGACACCCGAGCTCAGTGACAGAGAAAGGTGGCTGCCCACAATACCCCCATGAGGGGCCTGCACGGGGCATGGGAGGAGGTGGGGCACAGCAGGGGTAAGTGAAGGTCTGCCACCAGTTCCCCTCATCCTGTTGCTCAGTGACAGACAGGACAGTATTAACCAACCTACGCAAACTCTGAACCACAGAAATGACACCAGTCACTCAGGGAGAATGCATGGGGGTTCTGACCCCCAGAACACAGCCCTCTTGGCATTGTGGGGCACCTGGCCTCACAGCCACCTTTCTACCCAATCCTCTCCTTCCCCCATACAGTCCTTAAAGCTGACTGTGAGTCCTGGGGACTGGCCCACTTATCCTCAGCAGAGGACACCTACACCAACCCCCCAAAATAAGCCCATCAACCTCAAATATGTAAACAGATATCCAAGGATGGCCAGCCAGCAAAGGAAGACCAGCAGCCTGAAAAGGAAAAGTCACGATCAATCAAACAACTGACTCCAGAGGAAAAAGAGGCACACCAGGAAACAGGGAAACAGAGGGAATGTTAACATAAAAATTCTAGTTGGTGTTCTCAGAGGAATGTAAGACAAAATTTTATGCATAAAGGAAACAGGAGACCATAGAAAGTAAGTGTAGAGAACAAAGAATATAGAAATCGAAAATATAGTTGCCCAAACAAAAATTCCATACAAATGCTGGAAATATACTGAGGGAACTATCCCAGAAAAGTAGAACAAAAAACAGTTCTAGGAAATGTTGAATGTCACAGTTTTCTCTGTCTCCTAGAAATGCTGAAGTTATAGGTGGTATGTGGTTGTATTTGTTCTCCTTATTGTTTTATGTTTTTTGGGAAGTGTGTAGGGGAGATTCAAAATTAGGGTAGGCACCATTGTTTCCTAGACCTATTTGACAGTTACAAACAGTAGGAGATAAAACTTAACAGCTACAAACAATAGGAGCTAAAACTTAACAGCTACAGACAGTAGGAGCTAAAACTTAACAGCTACAGACAGTAGGAGCTAAAACTTAAGAGCCACAGGGAATTAACACAGGAGGTTCAACATCTTAACAGGAGGCGTCAAGCAAAAGAACAGAAAAAATGGAGGACAGGAAATTATCAAAGGAATAAAAGAACACTATATGTCAGAGTAAAAAGAAGAAAGGAAGAAAGGAAGAAAAAGACAGGAGGCTCACACAGAAAGGACTGGCAGTGTTGGGTAAGTGAGTAAAGATCCACGTATGATAATTTCTCCAATGTCAGAACACTACGTGAAAAAGAGAAGACCCCAAAAATTAATAGAGAGAGTGGGAAAAACAAATCACAGGCCATCCATGAAGGAAAAAGGCTGGGACACCAAATTTCTCATACGTAACCCTGGAGGCTAAAAGACAAGGGAATGGCCTCCAAAGTTCACCTCTCACATACCCCTGTCAAAATGGCAGAAAACCAAGAAGCCATGACAGTAAAGAGTGAAGGGAGGTCTCAGGATAGCAGCCTGGCAACAAGCCTGGGGGTAAATAGAGCAGACCAGGGCTCAAAGAGGGAGAGCTCCAGCAAGAAAGTGAACTCCATGTACCACAGAATATGATCAAGAGGCTGGTTAGACTTCAGGACACAGTAAAGGCACCAATTATTATTTGGTTAATAAGGAAAAAAGAAAAAAAAAAAAAAGGCAATCAGAAAAACTCCAGGAAAATTCTAAGACATGGAAGAAAATTGTGGTCCAAACTGGAAGCAAACTAAAATGCCCCATGATTGTGAGAGTTCCGAGCCAAGCACCGTTTTAGGGGCTTTTTGCATATTATTTAGCCAACAACCCCATGAGGCAGCAAAGGGGAATGCCATCTTGGCACAAGACTTTGGCTCTATGGAAGAACACCAAGAACTGCTGGCAGCCACCAGAAGCTAGGAGAGAGGCATAGAACGGATTCTCCCTCAGAACCTCCAGAAATGTGAGAATAAATTTCTGTTGTTTTAAGCCACCTTGCTAATTTGTTACATCAGCCCTAGGAAACTAGTACAGTGCCCATACTCACAGTAAGGTCCACATGGCAATTACATGGGGACATGTACAACCTTGAGTTATGCACACCTGAGTGTGCCTGACTTAAATGGTATTTTCAATTGCCTCATATGCATGTGAAAGCTGAACAATGAATAAGGAAGACCAAAGAAGAACTGATGCCTTTGAGTTATGGTGTTGACGAAGAATATTGAATATACCATGGACTGCCAGAACAAACAAATCTGTCTTAGAAGATGTATAGCCAGAATGTTCCTTAGAAGTGAGGATGTTAAGACTTTGTCTCATGTACTTTGGACATGTTATCAAAGAGATCAGTCCCTGGAGAAGGACATCATGCTTGGTAGAGAATCAGCAAAAAAGAGGAAGACCCTCAACAAGACGGACTGACACAGTAGCTGCAACATAGCAAAGACTGTGGGGATGGCATAGGCCTGGGTAGTGTTTTGTTCTGTTGTACATAGGGTCACTATGAGTCCAAACGGCACCTAATAACAACACACAATCAGTACCTGACACTGCCTGGCTCGCTCCAAATGCTCACTACCTAAATGTCAGCTATTATTATTGCTGTTATTGACTATCCCTGTCAACTGGGTAGTCTCAGATTTAGGTCTGGGGAGGGGGTGGGGCAGTAATAACCAACCCAAATTCAGACCTACCCTTGCTTCCTAAAAGCCCAGGCCCTTGTTAGGGGCTTTATCCTTTTTAAGGTCCTATTGCCTGCAGCCCTGGGAGGCACACGAGCTGGGTATAATTACCGATGTGGTGACGTCAAGTTATTACAGACGGGCCAAGTGACGTCAGGGCCACAGAGAACCGTAACATTTGTTGGGATGCGCTGTTGGTGCCAAGCTGCCTGGAGGGGCAGGAAGGCAGGAAAGCCTGGTGTCACCGGCCACTGTGGACGTCAGCAGTTGCACATTTTTTATTGAGCATGTACCCCAAGCCTGGCTCAGGGGACTTGGACATGACCCAGCAAACATGTTCCTCCCTGCTCCATTCTCTCTTCTTCTCTTAGTCCATTCCAGGAGGGTGTTGGGGGAAATATTAGGAAGTTATGATTCATGCGGGCAAAGGCCAGCACAGGGCTGGCTGGGATGGCCCTGAGGGCTGACAGGGAGCAGCCTCGAGAATCGAGAATGGGTGAGGGAACAGAGGACAGCGTGCTGCAGGGCAGCACTTCTCAAACTTTTAGTGAGGACCTCAAAAACCTTTGGTTTGTGTGGCTTATAGGCACTGATACATACCCTATTACCCACTGCCGTCGAGTCGATTCTGACTCCCAGCGACCCAATGCGGTTTCCAAGGCTGTAAATCTCTGCAGAAGCAGACTGCCACATCTTTCTCCCTTGGTGATGCTGGCGGTTTTGAACCGCCAGCCTTTTGGTTAGCAGTCGATCGCTTTAACCACTGCATCACCAGCGCTCCTTATTTACCACATTACAAAGTAGAAAACAGAAAAATTTTAAACATAAGCATGTATTCCAGTAGCTGTCAAGGGGATGTCATTACACAGCATTTAGCTTCTGGAATATTCCATCATACTCTTTTGAGAGAATGAAGGGCTACTGTCATGAAAATAGTTTTGACCCAAGGCCTCAAGAAACAGTCTCAGGTACCCACAGGTGTGTGTGTAGGGAGCTTGGTGAGCAGGTGGGGAGTGTCCTGGGAGTGAGGATGAGGAGCCAGGAGGGTCAGGCCCTCAGGCCTTGCTGGCTGGTGCCAGGAGGGAGCCCAGCTTGCACTCTAAGGCAATGGGAAGTACTGGACTATACAAACTCGGGGTTTCCTTCTGGCAGCGTGTGCCATGAAGACAGTAATAGTATGCTAGGACCGCAGAGAGTGTTCAGTCTAGCTCAAAAACATGAGTGGATCCCAGGAGGGGCTCAGGAGTCCCTAAGCCAGGGACAAGCCCACTACCGGTCCCAAACAACAAACCCCTTCCCATAAAAAAACAAAACCGAACCTGTTGCACTGGAGTCAATTCTGACTCATAACGACCCTATAGGACAGAGTTGAACTGCCCCGTAGGGTTTCCAAAGAGCACCTGGTGGATTCGAACTGCCCACTTTTGGTTAGCAGCCATAGCTCTTAACCACTGTGCCACCAGGTCTAACCCTACCCTTCTCCCCCTTACACACATCCTTTCCTAAATTGGACAGGCATACGTGGTGGTGGGGTGGGGGTGGGGCGGTGTCTGTGTAGTGGTAAGTAGGGCAGGGGCCACAGGGAGAGGGCCTTCTGAGGCAAGAGGCCGGGGCCAGGCCTTGTGGGGTGCCAGGTGTGCAACGGGGACTTGAGTGGGGAGGTGAGAGGGGAGGGAAGTCTGAGGGGGCAGGAAGTCAAGGCTGTGGGAGGGCTCCGGTT